CAATAGAAGTGGGTCTAAATACGTATTTGTTAGCTAACAAAGGGTTTTCTTACATGAATATGTCTGCGCCAACGGTTCCAAAAAGACGTTTAAGGTCAAAGAACAACTACTTACTCAACCTTAAAACCGATGCAACTCCTACAACATTAAAAATCAAAATGGCATCCCAGACACGCAAACCTACATCGACTGGATTAGTAGGCAGATTCCATCAGTGCACCTGCACCTGTCTGCACCTGTACCATCCTGCACTGGTGCAATATTATAGGAATTGCTGCACTTGTAATATGAAATTCCTGAAATAGTTCATTTAACGACATCCTGTGCTTCGGATAGTCCGTTAGTAGCGCTCAGACATAGTCATAGTATCTCGTGCATAATATTATATTATGTAAAATTACATTATCCGTGCGCTATCGGGGATGGCATATAATACCGTAATACTGCCATTATTCTGGTTTTTATTTCTATGGTAAGAAGATTCAAGATTTTCCTGCAACCAACCGTATACACTGCCGACTGGAAATCAGCACGATCTAGGTGAGATAGGGATAATATATGTGAACTCGTATAGTACACAAGTATAGGCCGGAGGTCGGCGACCAGTATGACGATTTTTACTTTTTACTTTTACTGAAACTGCAATGACGAGGAGTTCTGCGGATGAAGTTGGAACAACTCATATTTGTTATTGCACAAAATGTGACCCAAAAATTCAAACTTTCTCTTCTGAGTGTTGTATAAATGTTCTGACTGTGTGAATCCTACACAGTATTTCCATGTTTGTGACTATTCATCCATGAAATCCGGAGCATACGACGCACATACGGGTATTTGAATGAAAAATCTGGACAAAAGTCGATTCTGCAGAAGCTCGTATCGCAAAACTGGTATGTGCCTAACATGCCGGAACAGATGCTAGAAAAAGCACCACACTTTTTTGTTTATCCACTGCTATTTCTCGCCAGTACTCTCGGTGCGAATTTGATCATTCTTCATTGCTCACGTATCTGTTCTCAGCATATTTATTGTGACGAGGATATTTAAAAGTTTTTACAAGTTATTACGAATCGTGTACCAGTTTTTCAACATGGACGTTTCTGAGGCAGGCAATTACAACCTATTTTGTCAATTTTAGTTGTAATATTAGCTGATTTATTAGAAAAAATGACGTTTTCGCGAAATCTATGTTCCAATCATTTTTACCTTTGATATTAATTAAACTCGATTGGTTTTGATGAATTTCTGGATGTATCCCGGCTATGATTTTGGTCTCATATTATATAATTAGATCTTGGCTAATCATATCGACAGAAAATGTTTCCCAACTTCATCCAAGTCTCAGTATAATCGCCAAATAAAAGATTAACGTTCGGTAAAGCCATTTCTTTTCTTTCTTTATAGGTCCCTCTGGAGTCAAGATCATTACTCGAAAAAAAATTTACGACATTATGCAAGGGTTTCCCAATAACGTCATTTAAAAAAAATTGGACTATACTGATACATAGAAGATCTTTTCCTTAAAAGAAATAATCGTTGGCTGCAAATGACATTTGAAATACCACAGACAATATCACGACCAGGGCGCCCACAGAAATCTTTTAGTAATATTAGCGAGCGAAGTAAAAGACGAAAAACAGAAGCATTCCGTGGTGAAATAAGCTCTGAAGAGTTGACTTTTGCCACTCATACGAAGTTACGTTCTGAGGGCAAGACTGATGCTTCAAAGGTGATAAAAGACCTAACACAATCTCCAACGCGAGCAAAATAATATCGAAAGGCGTTCATTCAATCCCAAAATGTCGGAAAGCAGCTACTAACCGTATTAACCCCAATGAAAGCATTGTCTATGTTTGTCGAAGCTGGCCTGACAAGAAGACAGTATGATACAATTAGAAGTTTTAACAAGAAACTATACCCATGCTATACGATCTTATAAAACGCTAAAGAAGACTGTTATCGTGTACAAGATTCTTATAAAATCACTGCTACTTGCGCTGAACTTAATCTTCAAGATTTATTAAATCATACTGCTTCGCTGATTTTGTTGCATTTGACAGATGTTCTCCAGAATTTAAATAGCGAAGGAAGAAACATGCTAGTTTTGACATATAAATGGGGGTGTGATGAGTCACAGCAGGCAACATTTTATCAAAAATTTGAAAATAACTTCGATTCTGATGCAAATATATTAATTTGTTCTGTTACAGTTGTCTTCTAGCGGAGGCAGTAAGATAATATTAACCCCTTGCCTTCTCCGCCCCGATTTTGCCGACCCATTCGCAAAAGATTTGTGAAGGGAGCATTAGATATCACAAACGAGGAAATAAATTATATAAAAAACAAACTAAAGTCTTTGGAACCGACACAGGTCACGCAATTAAACGAAAGCTTTCTAGTAAAACATGTAATGATGCTCCTCGCAATGGTTGATGCGAAAGTATGTAATGCCGCCCAACACAAAATCCACGATGAAATGCTATATTTGTGGTGCTACATCCAAAGACTTCAACGATTTATCAAAAAAAACGTCCTTGTAATGAAGATTCCTTAAAATTTGGCTTATCAATGTTGCATGCCAGAATACGACTGTTTGAAGGAGTGCTTCATATTGCGTACAAATTGCCAGTGAAGAAATAGCAATTAAGAAGTGAAAGAGATAAACAAATAGTTCAACAAAGGAAATTAGAGATACAAAAGGAATTTAGATCCCAAATGGGTCTTACAGTTGATGTTCCAAAAGCTGGTTTCGGAAAGAGCAATGCTGGGAATACCAGTAGGAGATTTTTTACGGATCATGGGCTATCAGCAACAATAACCGGTATAGATTCCCGTATCCTTTTTCGTCTTAAAGTAATTTTGAAAGCGATATCAAGCGGCCATAAAATAGACAAACAGAAATTTGAAATATTTTGTTTGGACACGGCACAACTGTACGTTGCATTATATTCATGGCATCCAATGGCACCAGCTCTTCACAAGATACTGCTCCATGGACCCATTGTCATTGAAAAAACTTATTGCCTATAGGAATGATGTCAGAAGAGGCCGCAGAGGCTCGCAATAAACACTTTCGGTTATACCGCCAAAATTATGCTCGTTCAGCAGAGAGTCTTGCAATCTTCATGACATAAACAGATTATTATTGAGCTCGGATCCCCTGATGACTGGCATGAGACCAACTCCCAGAAAAATTACAAAACCATTTCTCAAGGAAACTGTTGAAATGCTCCTGCCTGAAGAACCGATGCGCCAGTCTAATTTGTCTGGTGATAATGATGATGGTGATGATGAAGACTCTGCTCCAGAGATTGGAGACTAGTTAGATGATTTTTGGTTGTCATCTTAATAACATTTTTATATTTTTTCAATAAATATTTTCACGTTTTGCAACTATAAGCTTTTTATTTCTTTACCTGCTGCTCTTACAGAGCTAATTACAGTTTTTGAATTAACTTAAAATGAAAAAAAGTTTTGTCCGGATTTTTTATTCAAATACTCGTACACACTTTATCTGTTGTAGTCCATGTAAGTACAACATAATTGAAAATACGTACCACTTCAAGATTATTTTTCTTAATTGGCTGCATTTTTAACAAAATGTTGCCTGATCTCCTCTACTTTGCTTTTTATTTCTGGTTTATGCGTCCTTTATTTGTTTTTGATAGATATTCATAAATTGTAATCATCTCTTTACACTTCTAATACATCTTTATATTTATATATTTTGCCTTTATTTTTGTACTATCATGTATTTCGGCTTGTTTATGTCAATCTTCAGACCAAATCTTTGGCTGGCTATACAGGGTGTCCAATAAGTACCACGACAAATTTAAGAAGAAGAACACAAATAATAAAAATGCAGCAGGGTGTTATAGGTTTAAAATATTACCAATGAATATTTTGATAATATATAATAGAAAACACCAACTTTATCACTCCCTAATCAAATTTGCAGCATACAAATAACGCTTGTTGCAATCACAGCATATCAACATATTTTCATTTCAATGCAAAATAAGTCTATAACGCATAGGTGGCTGTGAAAAGTAAAAGCCATGACAATTTTTTTTATTAATCACAGCTGTCAGAATACGTTTAAAATAGTTTTGGGTAGTTAAGGTTTTCAAAATGGGTTGAGGAAAGGTTATTAGTGAGAAAATTCGGTTACTGATAATTAAATTTTTTAATTCTTGGAAATCTAACTCAGAATTTGCAACTTTGTTAGACTTATCGCGGTACAGTGTAAGAAACATTGTTAGAAGGTATAACGTAACTGGTTCAGTTAATATTAAGAAACGATATGTGAAAAAAAGTAATATCTCAAATGCCGACCGAAAAGCATTAAGAAGAATAATCGTGAAATACAGGCGTGCCAATTATTTACAATTAAGTGCACTGTGGAGTGACGCTGTTGGAACGAGAATTTCGAGGTCCATAACTCATACAGAGGCCCACAAACTGGGATTTAGCAAGTTAGGTTTTCTTATAAAAAAAAGCAAAGTAAAAACCCTAAAGTTGCACAACTTGTTTATAGGCCAAAGAAAAGCCACTATCAACTCCACTGCAAAAGAAAAATCGGGTTAGATGGGCTAAAGAACATAAACAATGGACATCTCAACAATGGTGTGCAATACAATGGAGTGATGAGGCCCGATTCGAAGTTTCGGTTGGTGACAGTCGCAGTAGAGTTATTCGCAAAAAATGAAGCATTCCATGTTGACTGACTGAAGAGAAAAGTGAAATTTCCAGCATCCATTATGGTCTGGGGCAGTATGTCATCAAAAGGAGTAGGAAAACTTCATTTTATTGATAGAAATGTGCATACAAACAAATATTTGACAATTTCAGAAGAATCGCTTTTACCAGTGATGGAAGAATGTTTGACATCCGGCCAAGATTTTGTGTTTCAGCAAGAAGCGTACCATACCTCAAAAAGGCTATAAAATGGATAGAAGAAAATAATGTACCACTTTTGAAATGGGTTTCGAGCAGTCCAGATCTGTCACCTATTGAAACTTTGTGGCACGAGATGAAAAAGGTTCTACGACAACATCCTGCTCGTACAATCACCGAACTGAGACAAAAGCTTCAAGAAATATGAGATTGTTTTACACCAAATTTTTGCCAAATCTTTTAATTGTCGCTTTGTTAACTTCGCACATTGTTTATTTGTTCAGATGTTCTATTAGTTATAGGTCTAATTGATTTTAAATATGTATTTTTTACGACTAGAGTGTATCTAAAATGTTTTAGATAAAATGAATTGTTTTAGAAGTAAATAGTTTCGTCATGTTTAGTTTATAAAGGCATAAATTTTGGTACAAATCTTGAAGTGGGCCAACTGAAGTGGGAAGGGGCTCGTAGATGTTTGCCTTAACGTTGATGACTATCAAGAATAATAGCAAATAGAGAGTCTCGAGTACCTAGACCACTACAAAGATAACTTGGATAGGGTTTTCTCACATTTGCCAAAGATGGATCCATTTTTAGAAGCATCTTCAAGGTGACTTGTTTTTTTATTTATACGGGGTCAACCCCATTACAGAAAATATGTATATGTATATAGAGCACAAATATAATAATACGTAACCAATAATAAATGTAAATAAGAAAAATTTTAGCTAACAACGGTTAAAAAAATAGGGCTAGTTTTCTAATAATGGTTTCAATTTTAGGCAAAGGAATGCCCAATATCTCAATATCCTTATTATTTATAGGATTCAGTATCCTCTCAACAGGTGAGTGCATAGCAATATTCGAGAAATTAAGTGAAGGAACATTGAATGAGATTTTGTTAAGGAGCTTAGTATACAGCAATCTAGCAACTTAATAGCTTAAACATAAACAATTAATCATTGTGAATACGCATTTGACAGAGATTCTTGAAGTTCAATATATTCAGTGCATCATCATATTTATGATCATCAAGAATTCTTATATGAAGCTTATAAAGACAAAGCCCCATAAATATATTCTGCACTCTCTCAACGGATAGACAATTATTCATATAATAAGGAGACCAGATTATTGATTGATTGATTGATATAATTTTTTTAAAGTTTCTATAGATAGTTCCCCACAATTTCGTAACTTAAAATCAAGGACTTTGGAAGCCTAAAGTACAATAGTATTTATATGTTGTTAAACTAATCATACGATAGTCTTGACATTCTCTCGGGTGTGCTACCTTTAGCAGTCTTATAAAGACAGATTTCAACCAGTCGACTGATACATGCTCTATAAATTACATTGCAAAGATCTTAAGTTGCTTTTAGATACTCGGTATCCTTTATACGTTCCACATAAATGTGTTTCTAACTAAATCCCACTAATTAATTTATTTTCAGTTATTATCTAGCCTGTTTTTCCATCTTCAAGAGTGACGTCAGCTCTTGTACTCCCAAAAAGTTCTTCCACATGCTGTTTCCAATAAGATAGTGATTCTTCCACTATGACCATTCTTCCGTAGGCTGCCAGCATTTCTTTTACAGTGTCGACCCATATTTTCTTTTGTCTTCCTATGCATGTTGTAACTGTCATATTTTACTGTCCAGCTTTAGGGTTTCAAAACACTTTCCTGATATCCAGACTCTTTAAATTGCTCTCCTATTCTCCTGTTTAAATCTTTGTATAATTTCGTCGGTTCCCCACGGTTTATTCTTTTGTACAAGCAAGTAATGGCCACTCCTCAGGTATTTTATGAAACATGGAAAAACCCAATTACAAACCCGATTTTTTGGAATTATCACAATACCTTCGCCAATTGGAGTGGAATGTAAAACCAGGCAAATGCAAACCCTATACTCACATACCCAAGTCAAATATTTGCACAAAATAATTACTGCTAGCGAACTGTGCTTGGCGTTACAGCTGCCGATATACTGCGTACAACACGGTTTCAGAGGGATTTTTTAATTGAAACAAAAGCGCTTAAAAGCTCTTTGGCTGTGAAACAAGATTAAATCGGCAACGCTGATTAAAAAATATCAGCAGATCATACAACAATGCTTGAGGCTGGGTTTACATTTGCAGCGTCTACCAAATTACATTACATGTACTGATTTAATAAGCTTTGGTTGGGCATGTAAACATGGTAGGTGTTTATGAATCTAGCATAACTGCACTATGATTAGACACTATTGCCTGTCGAAGCCTGCTTTTTCTATAGCAGGATGACTTTCGAGTTCCTTTAGTTTAAACTAGAAGTTAATTGTGGGCTGCCTGAAAATTCGTTTTTGGTTGACTAGTTCATAGTTGTTGACGTGACAACCCTGCTTCTATGATACGAAATATAGTGTTCTATGCATTTTCGACATCTCATGTTATAATCAAGGCCCATAGAGTTGTGGTCTAACTGCAACCTTCTACAGGGTCCGTCAGAAAGAACGCATGTTTTTTAAAGGAGTAGTATAGTCAAAATAAGTATGGGAAAAAATATTGTATTATATCAACATACTCATAAATACATGGCATTTTTTTGAGTAAAACAAAATTTACGTTCTAAAAACTATGTCGGCCATATGGCGCCCTTGAGCCCAAATGCAGGAATCAAGCCTCTCCTAAACGAGCACAAATCGTCGGCCAGCATCCGTGCACGAATTTGGGTTACTTTTTTTTATTTCCTCCTTCAAATTCAACACGGTCTGAGGCTTGCTTTGGAAAACTTTTGATTTCAGGTAGCCCCATAAGAAAATAGCACGTTGACAGGACCGGGGAGCGAGGATGCCATGGAATGTCGCCATGACGTGAAATGAGACGTACTGGGATTTTTTGCCGAAAAAGTTCCATCGAAGTGCGAGCTGTGTGAGATGTTGCCTCGTCTTGTTGGAATCACACTGTTCTAAGACGAACACGTCGACGTCAAAGTTCCGGAAAAAAGCTGTTCATCATATGGATGTAACGCTCTGGATAAACAGTAGCTGTTTCTCCATGGTCCTTAAAAAAATAAGGGCCAATAATCGTCGTTGGGCCTACTGCACACCAAACTGTAACTTTCGGGGTATACAACGGGTGCTCATGCAACTGTTGGGGGTTCACTGGAGACAATATCGACAATTTTGTTTATTGACGTATCCATGTAAATGAAAATGTGCTTCGTCACTCATAAACAACGTCATGTCATTCTTATCCAACTGTTCAATCATGAGCTGTGGAAAATTAACACGTTGTACATAATCCCCTGGCAACAGTTGTCAACTCTCACTCTGTCTACGTTTTCGGAGGTTCTAACAGTACGGTTTCGCTCTGACGGTTTTTTCTTCATCACATTACCTGCTGTGTTGGTTGCTTCCACCCATCTCAAAATGGTGTTACGGTCTGGAACACGAAAGTGAACGCGAAACTCACGTTGCGTTCGAACGACAGACTCGCCATTTTGAAACTACCGACGTTCAGTAAACACACGATGCTCAGCGTTCCAAACCATCTTGCCAACTGAAACGGCACTTCTCCCACTATCCAACACGCCCTTCTTCAGCGACACAGGACCAGCCCACCCGATGTAGTACTCATTCGAAAAACATGCGTTCTTTCTGACGGATCCTGTAGTTAACAGATAATGATCTGACTAAGGCTAAAAACAATCGCAACTGTTATCGTAGGCTTACAATGCAAGAGTCGACTTCCAGATAAAAACATGGACGTAGCTAACTCTCAAGTGAAATCCGAATTTCGGTAAAATCGACCTGTGACAAGAGCCGAGGTGGCCAAGTCGCCATAAGTCTTCCTTCAATCTGCGATTTCATGCATGGAAACCAAAAAGCAATATGTTACTCTTCTGTCAGCTCCACGTAACCACCTAATGCAATATTCTTCAAAAGTGCAAGCAGTTAAATAAAGTTTATCCTCGATCAAATTTATTCACACCTCATTACCTCCAACGACCGTGTTGCAGAAAAATTGTGTACACCGATTGCACACTCATGGTCGAAATTCGCCCCTGCGCCATCACGTTTCTTTCCCATCAATTTGAATTTCGAACAAAGGTGCTGTACGCTTGGTTGGATGACGAAAAGCAACTTTGTTATGTTGCGCATTTACGCTTCCTGTTGTCGATGTTGTTTCAGCAAATGATTGATATCCGTCTGCTCAGTTCAGGCTGTATTAATTAACTACCGAGCTAATCTGTTTGCTAATGATGAAATACTGACGGCACACGGCATGGTATCCTGTTTAATTTTTGGCACATGACAGAGCTACGAGTGTTCTTGGCGGGAGTTACTGGCTTAGATACCCGACAGGCATGTAACGCAAATATTGACGAGAAAATACAAATTTTGACTATATAGCCTAGTAAATGAACGTTTTCGATAACATAAATTTTACAATTGATGTGGACCCGGCGCGGCGGTGCGCCGGGACTAAACTTTTATTGAAAAAACTTTTGATTTTTACACATACAACTTGGTACAAAGACCGTTGAATTACACGCTCTTTTGTGAAATCCTGGAAAAAAGCCAACATCAGATCGTATAGAAATAAAGAAACTATGGTTGCATCGCTTTGTATGACATTATCATAAGAAAGAACAGAAGTGGAAGAAGTTTTTTTCATTGATTTTAAATTACATTGTTGCCACACGTTCCCATAAATTCGTGTGAGAAGTCACGAAGCATAGGAAAATGGAAACACTAAGTAAACCAATATAATTTTTTTTTAACGTGAATGCAATGTTTCTTTAACTTGGAAGCCATTTGCATAGGAAGATTATACATCAAGGTAAATAACAAAAGGAGTTTGTCTTTGTACTAAATTTGTTTCAAACGGTATGTATTATCATCCCCTAAAATATAGCAAACTTCCGAACACCCCGTATAAAAAACGTTCATGGGACAGTTATGTAGCTTGATGTGTTGATGTGTACGCTACAAGTTGTCTGCGATATTTTTCATATTCACCCCAGGATTGGAGACTTCTTGTTATGCTAAAAACCATTATTTCAATGACCTAAATCCATACTTTCATCCATTCTAGAGATATTTTGTGAAGTTCTGGGAAAATGTTGTGTTCCCTTACCGGGTTAAGATGCGTTTACAGATGACTGCATTCTAAAGACTTCTTTTTAACAACTTAGTTATTTTGATATGCCTCTAAATTGGATACAATATAGGAACC